CAGATAAACTAGATTTTATAGTCAGTATTTCCATGGTTTCTATACTTACCATAGACGGTTAACACAGATAAACTAGATTTTATAGTCAGTATTTCTATGGTTTCTATACTAGTAGTTTCAGTTCTGTTCACGAGCGACATATATCTAGGTGTCGCTCATTGCAGCTTCGTTTGACCGAGGTTTTGATCAGTTTCTTGTAAAGTGCACTTATAGTTTCTAATTAAGAAAGCTAAAGAACATGGTATACTACTAATATTATTGTTCAGTAATAACTTGATTATGTATTTTTTTCTTGATGTTTCAAATCTGTTTTTGAATAAAGAAGGTTTGTCTGAAATGAATAAAGATCTTTCCCCAGAACTGGTTGATGGATTAACCTTCATTTAACGCGTCCTTTATTTCAAAATAACGGTTATTCATGGTACTAGATAACATATAAGAATGTATAATTGCGAGGAGAATGTCACCTTGAATTTCACTCATTATGAGTTACTCTTTAAAAGCAAGGAATTTATTTAACCTGTGTTCTGTTCCTCATATTTCTGATAAAACCCCACCGTTGTCAACATTTACTTCAAAGAATATGAAGCGGAAGTAAAAGTTGTCTACACTGAGTAAATTAGGAGTAGGTCATCATGAAGAAGAAAACAATGACGAGGAGAGTTCATGAATGACGTGTCGATATATCATTGACCAATGAACAGTGGTCACTTGAATCCTTCAACATTACATTTTTGAATCATCATTTTTTAAAATCTGCCTTTGCATAATCAACTACTGATTTTTTCCCCTATATGTTTATTTTATTTTATGAAATTTCTAGTTGTTCAACTATGAAAACTACTGTACTATATATGATTCTTCCCATCTTACATATATGTAAATATTACTCACTTTCGTCTTAAGGGTGTAAGAGCTTGTTTATCCTCAGAGGTTGTTCTCTTGCACCCCCCACAATATTTATAACTTATTCAATTTATGTATGTATATATTTTTTTGTGGAAATAAAAACTGTTGTAACTGTTGTTGTTGTAACATTAATTGGCAGGATTACATGACTAAAAATTTCCAGGAAAAAACATTGTACACATGGTACACAGGTAGCCCGAGCCAGTAAGCACGCTCATTCCATCATGAATCAGATTATAGATGGAATACTGATTAAAAACTTGGAAACATGTTCCAAAAAACATGTTTCCCTAAATGTTTCCTAAGGTGACAAAACGACGATGAAAAATAGCCAATCAGCGCGGGAGAAATTAACAATTTGTGGTAAAATAACAGATTTCATGGCATGTAAACAACAAGTTCTTGTATTTTAACATCACTAGTGTTAGCCTGCATAAACACAATGTTAATAAGCGCGGAAAGGAACTATAAAGATAATGCATT